CCCCAAAACCCCAAAACCCCAAAACCCCAAAACCCCAAAACCCCTGCATATAAAGATCCCATTGAAGATTATAATTATCTAGGCTTAAATGAACTTTAAATTAAAAAAATCAGAAGATAGTTCACCTCTCCATGAAATTTGTCAGGAACGTTCTGAATCCATCAGCAATGATTTTTGGGTCGATGCTTGAATGGAAGAGGTAGAGGAGGCTTCAATGAATGCTGCTATCGGTGATATGGATAAGCTTGTGCTCAACAATGATATTCCTAATTGGGAATTTCAAAAAGATGAATATCTAAATGACCCATTGTTTAGTGAGATGCTTTTTGAAGAGTCTCAGAAACACCCAAGCATTGACGAAGATCCTTGTAGATTCGGGAGCCCCAAGGATGAGGCAGATAGAGTCTATGTCATTCATCAACCTCTTTTGACTTCTAAAAAGACTAGAGATAATTCGCTATATTTAGAAGAATCTGGACCTGGAAAGGAAATTTTCTTTTCAAAAACATCAAAGGAAGAAGTCATTCAGAATGCTCAAAAAGATGAAAATTGTCCAGACTTTCATGATGATTCGAACAGTGACAGAATCAATGAAGAGGAGAAAGACTCTTCTCTGGCGAAACTTACTGAATCTGCTAAACCTCAAGGTGAGTTAATAACCACTATGGTTAAAGAAGAAGTAACTGACATGAAGAGGCAGGATGTGCCTGATATGACTAGAAAAGAAGTATCAACCACATCTGCACCAGACATGCCTGCCCTAGGAAAATTTGACATGACAAGAGAGCAAGCACTTGAGCTTCTCCACAAGGCATGCATTAATGGCGAAGATACATTCGATAATCAGACCCCTGAAAGGTCTCAAGGAAGGCCAGAAAACAAATACCCAAACGACGAAGAGACTCTTCAGAAGCTTTATAAAGAAAGCCTGAAGCCGATGATAAGTAAGCTGATCTATTAATGAAGCCTTCTAAATGCTTTCTTATAGAAGTATTCATCAAAAACATGCACGGAAGGCCAGACTCATTATAATGACAAGTCTTTTTAGGTAAAATTTCCGCAAAATCTGCCAAACTAAATCCCATCTTTTTCAAATTATTAACAGACTCTTTAGAAGGACTAAGAAAGAGTCAAATTACTTCTTAGAAAAGAACGGAAGCACTTCAGCAAGAAAGAGCATGGTCTTCTCAAAGTTCTTCCTCAGCTGGGTCAAGAACTACATCAATAACTTGTGCAAGTTCCACCATATTGAGTCTCCGTATGAGAGAAAGTATTTGTTCTTCTACCACATCGTGCTCAGCTACCCGAAAGAAAAAGTCTTGGCGGTGCTTAATTTCTTCTTTGGTGATCAGCCAGAAGAGCTAAACAAGTATCAAAATCTCTTAGAGGGAACTAAGGTTCAATCAAAGAAGGCAATCCACGATTATTATACTCTAAACTCTTACTTCAAAAGGATTCTGGACAATTTCAAATCTAATCTAGATAAATTTGGAGAAGATCTTGTTGGTTGCCAAACCTTAATAGCTAAAATGCTCGAAACTTACTGTAAAATTTCTGGCGAAGTCAAGCATGAAATCCTCTAAATATACCATTTAATATATTCAAAAATCTTTCAAATTTGGAGAAATCAAATGGGGTTTTGGGGTTTTGGGGTTTTGGGGTTTTGGGG